ACACGTGTCTGGAGGTTGGGGTGACACCAGGAGCTGCGGTCTGGGGGCAGCAGAGGGTGTGTGTGTGTGTGTGTGTGTGCGTGTGCAGATGGACGGACCGTTAGGGATGCAGTCTCATATTCCCAGGAGAGGAGGCAGAGGTCAGGGATCAAAGCCTCAACTGACTCCCCACCGAGCTCTGTCTGGGGAGGAGCAGAGATCCAGAATGAACCTCCCCTCAGTCCAACCACATTATGCAGCTGAAGCAATTAACGTGTGTGTGTCTCTCTGTGTGTGTGTGTGTGTTCCGAGGGACAATTTTGGTTCAAAACAATCGTTATGGGGACATTTTGACGTTGTGAGGACGTTTTCTCTCATTCCTCACAATGTTTAAACTCTATTTTAGGATTAGATGTATAGGTTTAGGTTAACGTTAGTTAGAGTTAGTTGTAATTGTTAAGATTAGAGTGAGGGGCTAGGAAACGCATTTGCAATGTCAAGTGTCCTCACAACCAGAGAAGACAAGAGTGTGTGTGTGTGTGTGTGTCTGCGAGTGTGTTTGTTTGCTTGGAGGCGTTGTGTGTGTGTGTCTCTTGTGCAAGGCTGTTGCAGCTTGCACAGTGTAGCAGTGCAGCTGGCACGTGTGACACACACACACACACACACCCCTGAGTCTGGGAAGGGCTTTTAATTAAGGGATTTGTTAATTTTCTATTCAACCTGACAGTGATGAATGGGGGAGCAGTGGCTGCCCGTCTCTGAGCTGCCTGTGAGGCCTCTGGCTGTGATCACCACACTCCGGCAAACGAATTTACACGTGAAGATTTTTATCCATTTGGAAACAGAACCACTGAATTTAATGAAGCTGAAAAAAACCACCCTCTCTCTGTGGCAGCGTGTGTGGAGGGCAGGTAGAGCTGAGACGTAAACACAGTCAAACAAACGTTATGTGAACAAAGAAAGATTTACTGACGTTTGTTGGCCGAAGTAACTCTTGAGACTCTTAAATCTTCTTCTGGACAGTTTTCTCTTATCTCTCTTTATGAAACAATCAGCTTCATCTATAAAATGTTTACTACAGGTTTTACTCCTTTGTGTTACAACTTTAGGAACAAGTTTAAATCTCAACCCTGTGAAATTACGTTCCTTCTAATCTGCAACAGGATAATTAGTCGACAGAAACGTTTCGTCTTCATCTTAAATGTCTCCAGAGAATATGTTTGTAAAACTACATTTCCTGTATTGTCTCTCCCGAGGTAAGTTTCCGTGTTTAACGTAGGTAAGGGTCCTCATATCTAAACTGATCGGGCATCACACACTGGTAGTGTGTTGGTGAAGCTACAGTTAGCGTCTGTGCTTCTGCACTGTAACTACATCTCTTCTTCCGTCTACGGTGTTTGTCTAATTTAAATCTCTGATCATCAAATGCACTTTTCCTCATGTAAAGCACTATTTCACTTGTCCTCTGAGTTTGAACGGAGATTCACCCCGTTTTAATTATTATTATCTTATTTCAATGCTGGGACCCCGACTCAGCCTCCTCAAATGTAAAACTGACTATTTTCATTTTCATACTCACTATCGATACTTTCTTTGTTGCTGCCAAACATGTTTTGCATCGGGAGCGATATAGGCGCCCTGAAGCAGCAGAGCCACATGTCATATCGCCCCTCATGCAATTTATCTATTGTGATGTGGCAGCCATTCATCTTTTAAATGCTCTCTCATGATTTCCTTTGTGCATGCAGAGCTGGAGGTGACCTTGAAAACGGACCATGTGGTGTATTCTGATGATAATTTATTCCCACATAGAAGAAACTGTCTCGCTAACATGATTTTCTTCATGCTTTATGCCATCTACACTTGCAGGAAAGTTTTTTTTTTTTTTTTTTTTTCATAGCAGAGGCAAATGTATTCTCTTTCCAGAGGATTTATAAGGCCATGCAAATGTTGGGGCACATCACGAATCTTTTCTTTAAGATTTTAGCATGATTTAAAGTCGAACTGTGACACAGTGCAGGGCTCTCACTTCCCAGTTTATAGAGACTGTCGAGGAACACGGACGGAGAAACAAACACTTGCTCATAAAGCCGTGATGTACTGGCATGAATACAAAACTGAATCCAGAGGACAAAACCATGGATTTGGGTTTTTATCTAAATTTCCCTGTAACGCTGAATCACAGGCTCATTTTCTGAGACTCATTTAACATGTGGTCGACAGATATTGATTTATTTCATCAATGAAAACCAACACAATGGTAGCAAACTGGATATTAGCTCCAGTTTTAAAGAAAAGAAGACTTGTCCCAACTTTTACTGTGTTTTTAATACTTCAGATGAAAATATAGAAACATGGACACTGTCCTTTTTTGGGGAGCCTGTCTCACTAGGATTTGACTGACACACACACACACACACACACACACACAAACACACACACACACAGGAACACATGTGGCACACTCTGTTTTAATGCATATTAATGAAGTTAAACGGGCCGCTGTAGACAATGGAGCAGAAGAGGCTGGTTGTGAGCACAAAGCCGTGGGCTCAGGGGAAGCAGAACAGGTGCAGGTAGGACACGGCAGCTCCATGTGGAACCTCTCACTATAGGTTCATCAGTGCAGGAAGCATCGCTTTAAGTGCTCAAATGCACAGTGCCCATTTCGTCTTTGTGCCAAGACGTCGTTGTTATTGTGTAAAAAATTTCCCGTCAGCCAAATAAAGACAAAGGCTTTGACTTGTTTCTTTGTCTGTGGATCTAGTTTCTGTAGAGGGCGCTCGTTCCTTTGTCTTGTCAGAAATTCGTGTTGTCAGGTCGAATAACAATGATGTAATTTATAGATCACTGAGCCGATTGCGACTTTGCACAATTCCAAGAGAATCTGATGTTGTTGTTTTTAGTCCAAAGCTGTTGCTTGGTAATTTTTCTGTTAATTAAAATAATTGTTTCAACTCCTGCCGTTGCTGTTCAGGCAAGGAGGTTTTGTTTTCGCTCCATATCCACTGGTTGGCTGGTTGGTTTGTCTGCAGGACGACACACAAACAACAGAACGGATTTCCAGAGAACTTGGTGGAAGGGTGGAACATGGGCCGAGAGAGATGCTATTATATTTTGGCACAGATCTGGAGCAGATCATTTTCACTTTCTTTAACATTGCAGGACGGTGTGTTTTGGGAAGTAATGGGACTGTCGGGCCCTGTGGTTGGTAAGAGCTCTAAGTGCCATTCTAGATTGTTTTTCTTTTGTCCTAAAATAGAAACCTTCAGTATGTAAGAAAGCATTTGTCTCACAAAAGCTACAATCATGTCTGTCTTATCAGCAATTTGTTCACTGAAACAGTTTGTTGCTGCTGTAAGTATTCCTCCCCTCCGTACATGGCCATGAGCCCAGTGTGACTCCACGTGTACGAGTTGTGGCAGGAAAACCTACAATCCTCACATTATTATTTTGGGACAGACGGGAAAATATATGAATCAAGACTCTTGTGTAAGTTTCCTCAGAATCTGGAGTGATTAGCAAATGTTTCCCAACCTCTCTAATGGCTTCTGAGACTTCTGGAACAAAAGCTATATGTCTCATGCGATCCTTGGTCACAAGTTACAACCAGTCCAACAGTCGGACTCTTCTTCCAGATTGTGCTGTTCGTGGGACGTTCGCTGCAGATGTCTGGGTTGACAATGCAGATGCAAAGATTGAAAGAAATAATTTTGGGATCACAATAATGATGAGAACACAACTTTCTGATCTGCTGCGATGTATTCTGTCGGGATTGTGCCGAATATATATTTACACAAAAAGATTTTACACACGAGGATCAGTTGTTTTCTAATGTTCTCAAATCAGATGAGGTGATTTCGGGGTCTCAGAGCTGATGCACGAGCGAAAGCTGAGACATAAACTTCAACTTTACTTTAACCTCGGTTCAGCAGGAAGACATGAACAATAACAACAACGTGACATACATTAACGTGGAGGAGAGGTAGACACAGAATGTCACAGATTTGGGAATCCAATGATGGTGAATAAATACAATATCGTCAATTAAATACAATAAAAACTCTCTTTATAAATATTATATGAGGTGTAAAAATATAATTCAAATCTGCTGCTTTTTCACTATTTGTTCGACAAAAAGTCAAAGTGTCTTCTCTCTGCTGACTCTCTCTTTTTTTGTGTCCTTTGAAAGTCGTCCAACTTTGGACAAAATCACAGGAGTCCCACTTTAAATTGCTGTTGGAAGCAAACGCTCGGTGTTCAGACACTAAAACCCTTTTTATACTTTATACTGCAAACTGAACTGTTGTTTTCTACCAGGAAGCAAAATACACATGTTCGATTTGAACTGGAAGTAACCCACCCTTCCATCCATTCATGCATCCATCCATCCATCATCCAACACACCCATCCATCCATACATTCATCCATCCATCCATCCATCATCAAACACACCCATCCATCCATACATTAATCTATCCATCCATACATCCATCCACTAACACACCCACCCTTCCATCCATCCACCCTTCCATCCATTCATCCGTCCATCCATCCATCATCCAACACATCCATCCATCCATCATCCACCCTTCCATCCATCCACCCATCCACCCTTCCATCCTTCCATCCATCCATCATCCATCCATTCATCCATTCATCCATCATCCATCCATCCATTCATCCATCCATCCATCATCCAACACACCCATTCATCCATCCATCCATCTATAATCTTTTTTTTCTGTCTCTGCTCAGTTGTGTGATCTTCGAAGTGTTTCTTGTTGTTTTCCTTCCACATAAAGCAGCGTGTACTTGTGTTCTGAAAGCTGCTGTATAAATAAACTGTGTCATCACACTCAGGGAGGCAGGAGGCTCTCCTGGGCTCAGCTGCTCCCTGCTCCGCTCTGCAGACCCTCCTGTGGGTCCGGAGAGATAATCAACTTGAACCAAACCACGCCTCCCTGGTTTATTCCAGGGGATTTATCCGCGCCTACATGTTGACTGCTCCTCATTCTGGAGCCAGAGAGAGAAGACAGCACATCCCCTCCTCAGGTCCCCATGCTGAGGAGCACATCACCCCGAACAGCTCATCTCCTCTGTGGACATTAAACCCTCTGACAGGATGGATTTCTTGGATCACAGCTTCCTGGACGCGCGCTCTCCCTGTGATTACACTTTTAACTTCTGGAACGACTACCTCGGCCTGTCCACACTCGTGGCCAAGACAAAGATCAACAGTCCTCCCTTCAGCCCGAACTCCATCACCGAGTCTCTTAAAGCCACCCTGGGTTTGGAAGACGACTCCCCGGTTTGCTCGTGCGTAATCGGGCACGGCAGGGACAGCGACGCGCACTCGGACTGCTCCTGCTGCTGCGCGGCTCCAGGCTCCCCGCCGATCTCCATCTACGACCTGAAGGAGCGCATCTCTCTCCTCGGGCCGTACGAGCACCTCGCCGGGGACAGAGACAGAGATTCGCCCTCCTTCAGGGGAAGCTTCGCCGGCCTCGACCTGCTCTCCATGGAGCGGCGGCGCAAGCAGGCTCCTCAGAGGGGGAAGCCGGAGCCGAAGGTGTGCGTCTTCTGTCGGAATAACGGCGCGCCGGAGGAGGTGTACGGCACCCACATCCTGAAGACCGCGGACGGCAGAGTCCTGTGTCCCATCCTCCGTGCGTACACCTGCCCCCTCTGCAGCGCCAATGGCGACAACGCGCACACCATCAAGTACTGCCCGCTGTCCAAGGAGCAGCCGGGCCAGAGAGTGGCGAGGGGCGGCAGAGTCATCGGGAAAAGGCTGAAAAGCTTCTGAACCAGGAGCCGGAGGAAGTTTGAAGTTGCACTGTCTGAAATCACCAGTGTGTGTGTGTGTGTGTGTGAGAGAGAGAGGCAGAAACTTTGCCCTCATTTCATGCACAAGACAAGTCTGCAGAGAGATTTACAGAGATTTTTATTGTTTGTGTTCCTGCTTCATTTGTAACGTTTTCATCCATCTGGTGACTTAACGAACACGTAGTTTACACATGGACGCATTGTGCGCAATATTCCCTCCCTCCCTCTCTCCTCCCCTCCCTCCCTCCCTCCCTCCCTCTCTCCTCCCTCCCCCTCTCCTCCCTCCCCTCCCTCTAAAGACCTGGTGATGAGAAACGAACCAAAGTACAGATCGACCTGTGAATGACACCTTCATGCTGTAACCAGAAGCTGCTGTGTTTCAATGCAAACAGCCCTGTGCTTTTTTTTTTTTAAACACATGGATGTGCAGCAGCTCTCCTGAAGTGAGATGAATGTCCCACAATTCACTGGGGCCTGCAGATGGAAAGAGTCTGACAGGCCCTGCAAGATGCAACACACACTCCTCTAGCACATCTTAGTTTCTTAAGATAAATGTTTTCTACCAAAGGAATGCACTTTTGTATTTAGCCTAAAGGTCATTTCTGTATGTTTATAAGTTGGATGTCTCATATATTCTTTAGCCTCCGTGTGGTTTTAGTATTTTGCAGATTTGAGCTGAATGTAAAACAGTGTGGGAGCTAAATCTGACCTGCAGTTCACTGACATGCTCTTCAACAAGCTCCAAGCTCGACTACATGTCACAAGTTCTAAAACTAATGCTGCATTGATTCGTTTTTATCTCTGTGCATCTGAAATTCTTGTAAATGTTTAAAAAAAATTAAAAAAAAAAAGAATAAGGGGGTGAAACAGTTTTAGCAATGAGACGCCTGACATTCCAAAGTCTTTATCTGTCAATAAAAATGTTTTATGTACTTATTTTTACCTTATGTATCACTGGCAAATATATTCACTGTAAATAACCTCTGAATAAACATGTAATTTGCATTTTTCTTTAAGTTGTTTGTTTGAGTGTTCAACTGATTTTTATTTTCACTCCGTGTGACTGTGAGTGTTTGATCAAAGCATTTTAACTTCACTCCAAAAAACATACATGCGATGCAAACACGCCACCTAGTGCTCAAATCCTTCAACGACCCCCTTCACCATCAGGTGTTTTTGTAAAAGTTTTTACTTTTACTTTACTGACGTCATTTTCTTCTACTCTATAACTTTACTTTTATAATGCAGATATTTCAAATGTTTTCCACATGAGACAAGATGAGCTCTGATTAGAAACACACAGAATCAGGTTTTATTGCCAAGCAGGTTTACACATACAAGGAATTTGCTGTGGTGTATTTGTGTATTAGTGTAAATATAAAGATTAAAAAAACAGGAAGAAGAAGATTAAATATAAAAAATACTATATTATACTATTAAAATGATCCAGATGTGGTGAACCACGCAGATGTGACACAACTTTCTTTCTCAATAGCAGGACTTAAAGAGTTAAGTTAAGATGACTCATATCTTAAAGTCCCTGAATGTCTGAACGCCTGTAATTTAGTTTGATTTTTAATCCATGTTTATTTGCATCGAGTCTCAAGTTCAAGTTTTACTGTCATCTGGGTCGAGGTGCAATGAAAAACGCACAAGTCAGCTCAGCTGTGCAATTAGA